TTTAGTATTGATTCTTGCATTAGCCTTTTACATTATACAATGGGAGTATTTATAGCGATACATATGGAATGGGAGCCCTTGGATGAAGTGGCACGTGGCATCATCTCCTTAGTTCAAATGTCTGTTCTTAGGCATGGGACTTGACTTGCTAGCTTACGGCGCATTTATTGCTTGTGCAGGGCCTTCATGCTAGTGACAAGACTTGACCTTTATGCTTATGACAAACGTTCCATCAATAATTCGAATAAGATCTGTGCAGGCGATCTCTTGGGAGAAGTGACCATGGAGGATGTTTCCTTGTGGTTCAGAGGCTCGCGCATCAGCTTCGGGGCTTCGGCCATTTGTCATGATACTTCCACTTGAGGGCCTCAGCTGCTCTCAACAGGTTCCAGCAGCCGGGCTTTGGTTCGAAGGCCTCGGTCAATGGACCTCGGACAAAGAGGAGCCTTGGCAGATGGACTTCGGCTCAGTATTTCGGATGTAGCCCCACCTCGGCATTGTATGCCACCCCGGCAGGAATGCCACGTGGATCACCATGAGTGGGCCATTGTTCCAGGTATGTTGGCCAGATGTGACAACAAGCAACAACAGCAGTCATATTCAAGAAGGAACTAGTCATATGTAGTCATAGTTAAGATAGATCAAGTCACAAACAGTCACATTTAAGAAAGGCATGGTCATAGATGGTCACATTTAAGAAGTATTTGGTCATATACAATTACAGTTTAGATTAAACATGGACACGGACAATCACTAACACGACTCGTCCTGAATTACCCTAATGGATCGGACACATGTCGTGCATCGATAGTAGATACTAGCTAAGTGCCGAATCCACCACCAAGGCAACCTTGACTATCACAATGAAGGCAGACTTAGTCATAGACAATAACTACTTATACAAATTTGGTCACCAAAATAATAGCTTATACATATCTAGTCACAAACATTTAATGTTATAATAGATCTGGTCATATACAGTCACATTAAGACACATGGTCACCGACAATCACAATCAACACAAATTTTGTCACAAACAATAATTGCCCACACAATCTTGGTCATAGAATACCAACTCGATCACAAATACTCACTGATATATCTAACTTGATGACATACAACATAGATAACAAATTTAACATATCACGATTATGTTACAACATAGATAACAAATTTAACATATCACGATTATGTTGAGATCTTATGAATTACAAAAACATGTTATATAACACATGAATTTAAAATGACAAAAAATATACTCAGATAAATAACATATCACACTCGAAGCATTACATTAGACAAACACTCGAAGCATTACATCAGACAAACACTCGAACTAGTTTGTGAGGTGCTATAGAAAATAAACTAGCCCAAACAAAGATTAGACAACACATCACTATTAAGCTCAAATGGCAAAGAACGATCTCAAACTTCCCAATTATTAAGCAGTATTATCGACCAAATATGATGTTAAGTTAGGCTTAATAAAAACATCTCACTTCACCGCATTGCCATTAAATTTTATGGTCATTTTGCAATCATCCTCAAGATCTCTTCGAAATATAAATCAGTAGTTGTGCGGAAAAAATTAATTTAACTATCAAAATCAATTCGGCCACCACTAACTCAAGCCATTGCTGACCACCATGCTTGTCGTCATCCATGGTGACGGACTCTCAAATTTGGTATATTCACTACCCTTAATCAACGGCACTTCTTACACCACAAAAAATCCATCGTCATCAATGAACTCAAGAAAAATCCAACAAAATCCTCAAATGAAAGCTTACTTTCTTTTGTCGGTAATGATGACTCATCGAAAACATCCTTCACTTGCCCTTCCTCCAGTTCTACATCTTCTGGATTTTCCAAATCAAAGCACTGGAAGCTAGCGAAACTAAAGCTTGAACCTGTGATAAACTTGAAAACTTGAAGTTTCAGCTTGACCAATTCTAAAAGCACAGGATAGTACTCAACAATGGATCTAGAGACTAATACTGGCCAATAATGCTGCATGTACAAATTTGGGTTACAAAGCATATTGACAAAATGACGTGGACGGTTGATATTAAAAGGCGTTGGACGGCTAGAATTTTAAAGCAAACAAAATGGAACATGAGGCGCCATTGTTTTGTTTTCAGCAACAGACTACTTTAAGAATTAAAAAATGAAAAAAAAAAAATCAAATCAATCCATTTCCCCTAAATCGTCTTCTCTCTCCGTCATTTCCCCCAAATTCGACCCAAGCTTCCAACCCATTTCCTCCCTTCCAAAGCACCAACCTCCGGCAGTCGCTCAGCTCCGGCATACTCCATACCTCCGGCGACATCCCCATCTCCGGCAGTTGCTCAACAACTCCGTACGGTTGTTAAAGCGATATCCAGGAAAAAAATCGGTGGACAAATTTCAATTCTATTACCATTTACTTCTTTGGTCTATTAGAAATTAAGTGTTTGATTTTTTTTAGTTTTGACATTTCGTATTCGTATGAGGCATCCCTCAACCACACCCCCACACATTTGTGCACTATGCCCCCAAATAGTTACTGCTTTCATATGCTTGGGATGTCCCTTTTTCGGCATTAAGGAAAAGAAAAGAATTAACGTGAAAATATCAGAGGTAGTTTATTAGCTTAAAATTGTCTGTGCGTTCACTCTTACGTTGTTCAAATGCATTTTGGCAGGTTTCCTTGTGGGATGTTATTATACCTACTAAAGAACGTGCAAAATTTTGGATTCGTACAACAAACAAATATCGTTTTATTGACGTAAGTGATTGTTGTGGAGCACTTTTGCATGTTTAATTTGCTTGGTTTTGTCATTAATCTCTCTCTCTCTTCTACATCATTATAGAGAAGCAATCTGCGAGGTAAAGACTTCAACTTAACGTTGCATCGGCATGTCATGCCAGAGACAGGCAAGATGTTTGTTGACAAAATAGCGATGATTGGCTTCTGCTTGCCTAAGACATATAGATGACAATGGACCCTGTATGATTTTTGACGTAACTTTATTCTTCCCTTAGTTGGAGATACGAGCATTTGGAGCAAAAGTGGGAAAAAGAAATATGGATGAATTAATCCTTGCAAATGAAATTAGTCATTTACCTCTAGAACTTGAACCATAAGATTTTACTTCATGCACCTTGTGTCTTGCTAATACATTGGATGTTCATTAAAGGCTTGCCTCTGGTTGTTTAGTGCGCAAGATATGCCTCATGACTTCTTTCGGTAAATTCATCTTCCCAAATATGAAATCTTTAATTGGTTTGTTATGACTTATTTCACCATCTCAAGATTTGTTTCTTTCACATTTATCGATCTATAAGAGCTGGAGTCCTTTGTATTGAATAAGTTTTTTAGCAAGTACAACTGTGGAACATTGTTAAGGACAATTGGTTGAAGATAATATGATCACTTAAAATAATTTG